TTCTGGGTCTGGGGGCAAAATTCTGGGTCTGGGGGCGAAATTCTGGGGTTTGGGGGCAAAATTCTGGGGTTTGGGGGCAAAATTCTGGGTCTGGGGGCGAAATTCTGGGGTTTGGGGATGAAATTCTGGGTTTGGGGGCGAAATTCTGGGTTTAGAGAAAAATACCGGGGCTGGGTGACAAAATTTTGGGGTTTGGGGTTAAGATTTGAGGTTTGGGGTTAAGATTTGGGGAATGGGGACAATTTGGGGTTGTTTTGGGTGAATTTCAGGTTTTGGGCGAGTTTTGGGTTATTTTGGGATGTTTTGGGTGAATTTCAGGTTACTTCTGGTGAATTTGGGGTTTTGGGTGAATTTTGGGTGAATTTTGGGGGATTTTGGGGGTATTGGGTGAATTTTGGGTGATTTTGGGGGTATTGGGTGAATTTTGGGTGATTTTGGGGGTATTGGGTGAATTTTGGGTGATTTTGGGGGTATTGGGTGAATTTTGGGTGATTTTGGGGGTATTGGGTGAATTTTGGGTGATTTTGGGGGTATTGGGTGAATTTTGGGTGATTTTGGGGGTATTGGGTGAATTTTGGGTGATTTTGGGGGTATTGGGTGAATTTTGGGTGATTTTGGGGGTATTGGGTGAATTTTGGGTGATTTTGGGTGAATTTTGGGTGAATTTGGGGTGATTTTGGGTGAATTTTGTGTGATTTTGGGTGAATTTGGGGTGATTTTGGGAGTATTTTGGGTGAATTTTGGGTGATTTTGGGGTGATTTTGGGTGAATTTGGGGTGAATTTGGGGTGATTTGGGGTGATTTTGGGGGTATTTTGGGTGAATTTGGGGTTATTTTGGGTGAATTTTGGGTGATTTTGGGTGAATTTGGGGTTATTTTGGGTGATTTTGGGGTGATTTTGGGTGAATTTTGGGTTATTTTGGGTTATTTCGGGTCCCCCCCGCATGGTCTCAGGATTTGTGGGGTGGCCCCGTGGCCCCCCCGCAGTGACCCCATGCCAGAGTGACCCCCCCGGACCATGGGCCGCCCCTCCCCCACCGTGGGGCCGGCCCCTGAGCGGGGGGGACAGCGCCTGGGGGGGAGGGGCGGATTTGGGGTCACTTCCGGTCACTTTGGGTCACTTTGGGACAGTTTGGGGTCACTTTGGGGTCACTTCTGGTGACTTTGGGTCACTTTGGGACAGTTTGGGGTCACTTTGGGGTCAGTTCTGGTGACTTTGGGTCACTTTGGGACAGTTTGGGGTCACTTTGGGGTCAGTTCTGGTGACTTTGGGTCACTTTGGCGTCACTCAGGGGTCACTCGGTGTCAGTTTTGGTCACTCAGGGTCACTCAGGGGTCAGTGAGGTCACTCAGGGGTCACTCAGGGGTCACTCAGGGGTCACTCAGGGTCACTCAGGGTCACTCAGGGGTCAGTGAGGTCACTCAGGGGTCACTCGGTGTCAGTTTTGGTCACTCAGGAGTCACTCAGGGGTCAGTGAGGTCACTCAGGGTCACTCAGGGTCACTCAGGGGTC